CTGGCCTGCCGGGCTGGTTGGGGCCGTACATTTTCTTAGGCGTGGCGGTGACGGAGCAGGGCACTGCAGCTTGTCTGAGGCACCTGCCCTGTGCTGGCGCTGGGACCCGTGGTGCACACACAGGCGCAGCCCTGCAGGAGACGGGGAGCAGGCACATGGCTCCACCCTTCCAGCAGTGACAGCAACGGCAGAAACACTACTCAGAGCCCCAGAGGAGCACGGAACCGGGGCTGGTTCACAGTCGACCGTCGCGCAAGCAGCTGTCTGTCCCGGTAGCCTACACAGGCACCGCGGTGAGGGGCTGGCAGGAGGAGGGCAGGGACTGTCCGCAGCGCGGGAGCCGGGGCCCCTAGGGTCTGACCTCCCCGACCCCCGCTGGCGACTGAGAAGGCACCGAGGGGTCCCAGCGGGGGGAGTGTGGGTTTCGTGTCAGGTGCACTTCCGGCCATGGGGAGGCTGCACAGGAGGCGAGGGGTGAGGGTGGCTGTGGGTGTCAGGGTGGGAAGCAGATGGGCCCAGGCTGGACAGAGGGAGGAGACTCCTGACACGTGGCTCTCTGAGGGGCGGCACAGCAGAGCACACATCAGCTCAGAACCCACCACTGCCCCTCGCGAGGCCGGGCCCCAGCCCCCAGCACGGACGTTCCTGTCCAAACCACACGCCAGCCAGGCCCTGCCCTGCGCCTGCAGCTCCCCTTGCCAGCCACCGGAATTGACAGACACCAGCTGGGGCTCTCTGCTCCCTGGGTAACTCACCAGGACGTCTGGGCTCCCAAGCCCAGGAACCCCCAGTCTGGCCTCACCACCTCCGTGTTGGCCCTGCTCCCACCAGGGCGTCCCTCACTGGCCAACTCCTTCAGCTCACGTCCTTCTCACCGGCCCTCCTCCCCTGGAGCCCCAGAGCTGCCTCCTCCACCTGCCAGTCCCAGCCCACGGTCACCTTCCCTGGGTGGAAGCAGCTGTCTCTGTCACACGAGCTGGACAGGGACCTCGTGGAGACAGTGTCACCAGGGTCCAGCACCTGCTCACTGAGCCGGTTTGCTGGCTGCCTGGGGACAGGCACGGTGACAGCCCTAAGGTGGCACAGAGCTGAGCAGCCTGGGAGGAAGCAGTGCAGCCGCAGGACGTGGACTCTGACGAGAACAGGCAGCACTGCCGAGGGCCATGGCCGCTGCTTCCTCTCCTACAGGGATGTGGGTGCACCAGCAAAGGGTTCAAGGTACCTGGGGTATAGGACCTAGGTCTGGGGCGCTGGGGACGTGGGAGAGGGGCTGCGAAGGCGGACTGGAACCACGCTAGGAAGGCTCTTGTTACAGACAGACTCGGGTCCCCCCGGACTGTACGTCAGAGTTCTGACTCCAGTACCCCCAGAATGACTGTATTTGGGAAAAGGCCTTTAGAGAGGAAATTAAGGTTCACTGAGGTTCTGGGGTGGGCACTAGTCCAAGATGCCTCGTGCCCCCTACAGGGAGACCGACTCAGGCACACTCACATACAGAGAAACACCGAGCGGCTGGCTGCTGGGCAAGGCGAGGCCAGCCCTGGGCCGCAGCTCTGCAGCCACCACAGCCGTGAGGAAGCAAGCTTCTGTGGCCCAGGCGCCCGACCGGCGGCCCCGGCAGACTACCCCAGGGTTCGGTTCTGACGCGGTGAGACGCACAGCTGAGTCAGGACACAGAGGCCCTGACTGTGACCAAGGCCATCCCCAACAGGGCCAACTCACGGGGCAGTGGGTGGGACGGCCTCCTCCTCTCTTGCCTTCCTCCCAACCAGTGACGGACAGCAGCCAGCTCCCAGTGCAGGGCACCTGGGGGCACCTGGGGCTCCCCGGGGGAAACCGGCACAGCCAAGGGGGCCGAAGGAGCTGGGCGTCGCCCGGCGTCCCGGATGGGCTCCGGGGCCAGGGACCTTGAGGCAGAGCAGGGAAGCTGCGCAGAGGACTTGAGGCGGCCGTGGCTCCCGGCTGTCAGCTGGCACGGGCGCACCACAGTCACGTGAAAGCCTGGGTGGGGAGGCGTCTGGGGGTTCTGTGTGACCTCTGCAGCTTCTCAGTACTCCTAAGACTTCCAGGTAGGAAGTGCACTGAAATATTTTTTTATTTGACAGATAGAGTTAGATGGTGAGAGAGAGACAGAGAGAAAGGTCTTCCTTCCGTTGGTTCACTCTCCAAATGGTCACAATGGCCAGAGCTACACCGATCTGAAGCCAGGAACCAGGTGCTTCCTCCGGGTCTCCCATGTGGGTGCAGGGGCCCAAGGATTTGGGCCATCCTCCACTGCCTTCCCATGCCCTAGCAGGGAGCTGGACTGGAAGTGGAGCAGCTGGGACTTGAACCGGCGCCCATATGGGATGCCGGCGCAGCAGGCAGAGGATTAACCTACTGTGCCATGGCACCAGCCCCTAGACGTTCAACATTTGCTGCCATTCATTTGCGCAGGGGACAGCTACCTTGCTGTGCAAGGTAACGATGCAGCCCAGGGTCCTTTGGCCCTCTCCCTTCTGCACCGGGGTCTCAAGGATGGGCAGACGCTGGGGGCTTCGACTGGCGAGTGTGGGTGCTTGTGACCAAAGTCCTCTGTGCGTCGGGAAGGAGGGGCGGCTGTTCGTGGAGGCTACAGCCGGAGGCCCAGAGCTCTAGGACAGGTGGGAGGGGCGGGCTGGATGCCTGATGGTGGTCAGCAGGCTGGGGGGGGGGGTTGGGCTGCCTCACTCAGATGCCTGCCTGGAGCAGGGAGGGGGCCTTGCCCGTGCCCACAGGTCCCGGGCCGACAGTAGGACCCCTGTGGGCCAGGCTGCCTCTGCAAAGCAGAGTGGGCGTCTTTGGACACCGTTCCCTAGGAGGCATCTCTGCAGCGCCCTGGCAGTCTGTCCTTTGCCAGGCTTGGTGGGCCGGCGCCTACCATTGCCACACTCACGAACATCTGCGGTCAGAACTGGGAGGTCCCTGGGGTCACGCGCTCCAACCCCTCCCTCGGTTACAGATGCGACACGGCGGTCCCCAACTTCCAGCCTAGGAGGGATGGCTCATTGCCTGGAACTTCCTCTCCTCCTCCAATTGTGGTGAGGGAGGGGGACAGAGAGGGGCGCCCACGGCCCCAGCCATTTACCTGTAAGTTCAAACACCCCAGGACAGGGGCGCACTGGGCCGGTTTGCTAATGGCGGTGTTAACTAGCGTTTACGCAGCAGGCACCGCGTGCCGCAGCCCGCGCCCGCCCTCCCCAGCGCCCAAGCTGGCCCCAGGGGCGCGCCGCGGCGGTGCCGGGTCGACCTGTCCATGGCCGGCGGTGAGTCCCGGGCCTCAGCCTCAGCCCTCGCCCGGCCCGCCAGGCCGCGGGGCGCTCTGCGCCCGGGCGCGTCCGAGGCCGCCGGCGCCGGGCGTGCTCAGAGCCACCCGGAGCTCCGCAGAGGGCCCGGCGCTCCCAGGGGCGCACGCGGAGGGCCCGGCACGGGTGCCCGCCCACCTGCGGCGCCCGCCGAGCCTGCGCTCCGGCCCGGCCCTGCCCGCCGCCCGACACTGAGGCCAGGGGCCGAGGAGCCCCCGGGGGCGGCCCCGCGCACGCAGAGGCCGCGGCCGGGGCGGAGAGCGGCTCAGGTGGGGCGCGCGTGTCCCGGTCGCGTACGCTGTCGGGGGCGCTGTCCCCGCACCCGGCCCCGCCCACCGCCGCGTCCCAGCCCCGCGTGACTCGCCGTTCCTCCCTGGGCCGCCGTTTGTCGCCCCGGAGGCCTCCCTGAGCCCGGGCTCGCGGCCCTCGCGCGGGCTCGACCCCACGCGCCCACACTGCGGGGGCGGCCGCTGCGGCCTGGTCCGCGCCCCTCCCCCGCCTCCGGGAACGCGGACGCGCAGGGCGCGCTCGCACCTGGCCGGCGCCGGGCCCCGCCCCCGGACCCCGCCCCCGGGCCCGCCCCCCACGCCGCACGGCCAATAGGAGGCGGCGACAGGCCCCGTGCGGGGCGACGCGCGGGGCGGGGCCTGTGGGGCCGGAGGGGAGAGCCCGGCGGGCGGCGGGCGCGGCCGGGCTTCGGCGGCGGTGGCGCAGGCGGCGGTGCGGGCACGGAGACGCAGCAGCCCGCGGCGCGACAGGGCCGACGAGGGCCCCGCAGCCCGTCGCAGCCGCCGCCTCGGTGCGGCCGGGCCGGGAGCGGCGCGGCGGGCGTGCGGCCTGTGAGGGCGGCCGGAGCGGCGCGGCGCCGGCGTCCTGTCAGGCGGCCGAGGGCGCCGCCGCGGACCGCGCCGAGATGATGCCGGTGGGTGCGGGCGGCGGCTTCCTCCGCGGGCCGCGGGCCAAGCCAGCCCTGCCTGCGGCGCCCGCCCCCGCGGGCCCGCGCAGGGCCGGCCGGGCGGGGAAGGAAGTGGCCTGGCGGGCGCGCCCGGCCGCGGCGCCCCCGGGGCGGGCAGGTGGGGGCGGCGGGGCCGCGGCGCCGGGCGGAGCGAGCGCACCGGCGGGGCGGCCCCGCGGCTCGCGCGTTCCCACGCTCGGGCCCGCGGCCCCGGCGGCCGCGGGGGGCCTTTGTCCCGGGCCCAGGTTGCCTCCCCCTCCCCGGGGTCCGGGTGTCTGCGGGTCGCCGTCGGGGCTCCGGGGGAAAAGCGGGGCCTGCGTGTCAGGAGGGGCGGCCTGGCCCGCGGGGCTGCCGGGGGAGCAGGTGCTCCCGAGTTGTGCCGGAGGACCGTGGCCTTGCCGCGCTGCCCCCAAGGACGGGGCGCCCCGGTGGCCGCTGCTGGCGCTTCCTGGCGGCGCGCGGCGTTTGCGGGGCCCCGGGCTTGGCGGCGATGGAAGGCGTTGCGTGCGGCGGGCGCCGGGCTGCGTGACCTTGGGTAGGCCGAGTCCCTGAGCCCCGCGGCCGGCGGCCGGCTCCCGCGGCGAACAGGCCTTCGAGGTTGGAGTTGTGGTTTTAGCCGTGCGGGCTGAGGCGGCCGCAGCCGCTCGCTCGCTCTGGCTGGGTTTAGGGTGCAGGTGTAGCGGGGGGGTGGGGTGCCTGTGGAGTGCGTGCCTGGTTCGGGAAGCTGGCTCGCGCTCCCCACGCGGGACCGCCGGACCCGCAGGATGCCTTCCGAAGGTTGCTGGGCCCTCCCAGTTTCCGCAGGTTTCCCTGGTGGTCACGTGCTGCCTGTTTAAAAGCAGGCCCAGGGGCTGCCTGAACCCTGCACATTTGAGGCGCATGCCCTCCGGCTCGGTGGCCCCTCGGGACCCTGCAGGGTTGCCGCCTGCGTGCGCGCCCTGGGGCTCGGCTGGGGATGCCCCGGTTTGAAGGAGGTGCCATCCTTACTGGGTCGTGCCTCACGCTGGGTGCCCAGAGCGTAAATAAGGTTCTTTCTCTGTTGTACGTTTGGTGTTAATCATCCTGGTGAATCATTAAAGAAAACATTTTTATGTAGTTAGCGTAGGGCAGCGCTGCCAGGGGAGGTGTGCTGCGAGCCATAAGTGCAGTCTTAGATTTTTCTAGTCACTCCATGGGAAGTGGTGTAAAGGTGTTAATTTTAATGTTTTTAATTAACTCAGGGTATCCGGAATATTATTTTAACGTGTAGTCAGTGGAAAAAGCCACCAACATGGTGTATCACTTTCCTAACACGTCTTGCGGATACTGTGTGCCGCGTTCAGACCGGCGTGTGTCCAGGGCCGGCAGCTGTGTGGTTGGTGACTGCCACCGTGGGCAGCGCTGGTGTAGGGTGTGTGTGTTTGAAGTCTTCAGTCAGTGTGTGGTGTGTGCGGCACCTTACTTGATCAGAGCTCAGGTCTTGGGAGGAGCTGGGAGTAAGGCCGCCTTCTCAGCTGACACAATGGCTTCTTTGTGGGAGTCTCTGCTTGTTAGACAAAGTTCCTTGACTTTCTGCATTTAAACAAAGTTATATTTTGGAGTTTTCCCTTATGAAAGCAGTGGGCGTCCTGGGAGGTGTAGTCACTCCGCTTTCTGTTAACGGGTAACTGCTTAAAACATTTCCCGGGCCGATGTGGTGCAGTGGTGAGTCTGCGGCGCTGGCACCCGCTTGGACGCCAGCTTGAGTCCTGGCTGCTCCGCTTCTGCTCCCTCTTCCTGCCGATGTGCCTGAGAAAGCGCCAGGAGGTGGCCCAGGTGCGCGGGCCCGCGCCTCTATGGGAGAGCTGGGTGAAGCTCCTGGCTTCAAGCCTGGCCCAGCCCCACCTGTTTTGCCCATTTGGGGGAGGGGTAGACCAGCAGATGGAAGATCTGCCTCTTCCTCTCTAACATTGCATTTCAAATAAACAAATTCTGTAAAAAAAAAGTATATATTTAGCTTTCATTCTGTAAACATTCACTCATTTCAAGTATTCATTCCCACAACTATGTAAATCTTAAATATTTAATGACAGAGATCTTCTGTCCACTTGTTCACCTCGCAAATGCCTTCAGGAGCCAGGAGCTCCACGTGCGTCTCCGTGTGGGGGCAGAGGCCCAAGCACGTTAGCTGGCATCTGCTGCCTCCCGGGTGCATCGGCAGGGAAGTGGACCAGAAGCGGAGCGCCAGGATGCCAGCCGGCACTCCAGTGTGGGATGTGGCCCTGCCGCCATGCCTGCCCTGTAGAAACGTTGTAAGGTGCCAGAATACGGCCATGTCCTGTAACTGACAGACAATGAACTGGAACGAGCAGGCTTGTTCTGGACCTCACTCGTCAGCAGCGGTGACCTTTAGCTTTAAGCTCTGTGGGTCTCCGTCTCTCACCTGTGAAGCGAGTCAGACCTGGTGGCTTGCGTGAGTTTATGACCAGTCCAGCAGTTGACACGTGGCAGGTGCTTTGATGAGGGTCTGTCGTTGGCTGCCTCAGGTTGAGGCCAGCGATGCTTGTGCTGGGAGCCCGTCAGTATTCTCCTTGTGCCCACCTATCTGTGTGATAGGGCAGATAGTGAGAACTCTGCTATTATTATGAATTAAGTTACTTGATAAATTGGATTAAAAAATTAGAGTTACAGAGAAAAAGGTCTTCCATCCACTGGTTCACCCCCCAAATGGCTGCAATGGCCAGAGCTGCGCCGATCTGAAGCCAGGAGCCTCCTCCGGGTTGCCCATGTGGGTGCATGGGCCCAAGCACTTGGACCATCTTCTGCTTTTCCAGGCCGTTAGTGGGGAGCTGGATCGGAAGAGGAGCAGGAGGGAAGTGACCTGGCACCACATGGGTGCTGGCGCCACAGGTGGAGGCTTGGCCCACTACACCACAGCACCAGCCCTGATGGGTTGGAATTTATAGCTAACCAGTAAACAAGACACCGATGATTGGACAAGATTTTATTTTTAATCTCTGGTTTTGTTTTTAAAGGAGATATTTATTTGTGGGGGAGGGGAGATAATGTTGATCTTCCATTTCCTGGTTTATTCTGCAAATAGCCACAACATCTGGGTCTAGCCCAAGCCGAAACCAAGAGCCAGGAACTCCATCCAGGTCTCCCGTATGGGTGGCAGTACTTGGTCGTCTGCTTTCCCAGGCACATCAGCAGGGAACTGGATCAGGAGTGGAGCAGCCAGGACTTGAACCAGTGCTCTGATAGGGTTACCAGTATTGCAGGCATCAGTTTGGCTTGCTGTGCCACAGTGCTGGCCCCTGAACTCTGGTCTCTTTGAAACAAAGTTTTAAGAAGAATATAATCATTTAAGATCATTTGTTTCTTACATATGACTAGCCAAAATTTTCTCATTTTTTTGTGTTTGGAAGGCAGAGAGAGAAATACAGAGAGGTCTCCCATTTGCTGGTCTCTCTCCAAGTGCCTGCAAGAGCTTGAACTGGGAACACATTCTGGGTCCACCTCCCTCCCTGGCATGGGTGGCAGGAACTTGGTCACGTGAGCTGTCACCCGTTACCTCCCAGGGTGCACCAGGGCTACCTCCCGGAAGCTGCAATCGGGCCTGGAGCCAGGTCTGCAGGGATCCCGGACGCCGTGGGCACTGATGTGCCCTGCTTGCCCCAGCCCGAATGTTTCTAAGAGGGTCTGAGGGCTTGGCTCTGCTGATGGCTGCTGTGCAGCCGGCAAGTTTCGCAGCTGTTTCACTTCCTGCGATTCAGTTTGGTGACAGTGCGTGCTCAGCAGGCAGTGTTTGTCACCGTGTGTAGCGGAGGCTTTGTGCTGGTGGTCCTGTTTTTATGGAGAACTGAGGCTTAAGAGGTAGAGAAGCTTGGCCAAGGTTCCCCCCACCCCGCTATAAACGGTAAAACCAGGCTCTGAACCAGACCGTGAGACCGGAGCTGTTGCTGCCAGCTGCCCGTCCCCGAGGAGCCCGCTGGGACTGAGGGACTTTGCTGGAGGTGCCGAGTTGGACGTGGCTGGACTTCCTCCTGTGTGCTTGTCTCAAATGGAGCTCAGTGTTTATAAGCATCTCGGGGGGAATCTGGACAGTGACCACTCCCGCCACCCTGGTGCTGGAGACAGCTCTTCAGGTAAGCACGTGAAGTGTTTCCCTTTCTTCCTCAGGACCTGCGTGGACGTTGCTTGGGGTCTTTAGTTGGTCAGCACTTGAATCGTTGCGGGGTCGCTGTGTTGGTGTCACATACGCGGCTGTCACCAGGCTTCGTGTGTGTGTGTGCGCGCACAGATGGGCACAGTGTCTCAGCCTCGTGGGGCGGTTGCCGTAGTCCTTTCACACACGACAGCTCTAGGATAGGAGAGGGGGATCAGACTGCCCCGATCCTTTCTCGTCTTGATTGCTCTGCTTTGTTTGAGAGCAGAGAGCGCTGCCTGTCTGGTCAGCAAAAGCTGCTGGTACCGGATTTGGTAAAGTATCTTCCTGGTGACGTAATATAGAGCAAAGACTGGAAAAGTTGAGGCAGTTTCCATTTAAATTCATCAAGGCATTTGAAACACTAGCATGCGGTCCCGTGCAGGACCTTGTTAGTGGCATTGTTGGTGTGTTTAGAGGAAATGTTAGCTGAGGTTTTGGTGGAACCATGGTTTGTGCCAGAGGTGGGATTGTAATTGTAGCTGCAGCGGATGCCAAGGCCCTGTGGTCGGAGCAAACGCGGCCTGCTGGAGGAGCCGGCGCAGGCCTGTGCTGCTGGGGCAGCGTGGGGAAGGTGGTGGCGAAAGGCGGCCGAGGATCCTGTAGGACGCGGCAGCCGTGGGGAGGAGCGGAGGAAATGAGACGGTGCTGCGTCCCTGCCGCGGCAGCAGTTCTTGTTAGCAGGCCGGGCTGGGTGACTTCACTGTGGCAGGTCGGAGTTGGGACCCCGGCGTGAGCACCGTGTGGGTGCTCTGACCTCAGGTCCCGTGTACAGATGGAGGCATTCGCGGTGACTGTTGTGGATGGGCTAGAGCTGTGGGGGGCGCCCGGCGTGCAGTGAGCGCTCAGCATCGGATCCTTTCCTCGCCATCTCTGATTTCAGAAAATCCAACTCCATGTGTCTGGCCTGTGTTTTTTTGAAAGAGAGTATGTAGGCAGTAACTCCCATCCCTTGACTTACTCCCCAAATGCCCACAACAGCTAGGGCTGGGCCAGGCCAAAACCAGGAGCCAGGAACTGAATCTGGGTTTCCAGATGGGTGGCAGGGGCCCAAGTACTTGAGCATCAGCTGTTACCTCCCGGCCTGAACGTGAGCGGAAAGCTGGCACTGGGGGCAGAGCAAGTACTCGGACTCCCGACTGCTGGGCCGGGTGCCTTCCCCTCAGCCTCGGACATCGTAGGACTGTTTGGTTAGTTTTGTTCATGTCCTAGACTGTAAGTCTCTCTGTTTATCCATCATTATGCCGCCACCACCTAGCCCATCAGTTGGCATGTGTTGGTGCTCAGCAAGTGTGTTTTAAACTATTTACTGAGAAGGGGAGAGAGAGCAGAAGCTTCTGTCTGCTGGTTCGTTTCCCCAAATGCCTGCAGTGGTGTGTGCTGGGCTGGAGCCAGGGACTCAGTCCAGGTCGCCCAGGTGGTGGCAAGACTCGAGTACTCGGGAGGCGGCAGGACTCGAGTACCCGGGTGGCGGCAGGACTCGAGTACTCGGGTGGTGGCTGCTGCCGCTCGGGATGTGTTTGCAGAGGCTGGAGTCGGGCGCAGGAGCTGGGGACTGAAGCCGGGCGTCCTCACTGCTCCCTTGATAACTGTTAGTGGAAGAGGAGTGAGGAAGGCAGTGTTGAGCTCTGTGAAGAGGTGTGTCTGTGCCATAGCAGGGTTTGGGCTTGCTGCTGTGGAAAACCAGAGACCAGCAAATGTTTTAAAAAGTGGAGTGTAGGGGCTGGCATTGGGATAGCGGGTTAGTGCAGCACCAGTGCTCCACTTCCAGTCCAGCTCCCTGCTAACGCACTGGGAAAGTGGACGATGGCCCAAGTGCTTGGGCCCCTGCACCCACGTGGGAGGCCATCCTGGCTCTGGCCTGGCCTAGCCTGGGACCATTGCAGCCATCTGAGGAGTGAGCCAGTAATTGGAAGATCTTTCTCTGTCTCTGTTACTTAGGCTTCAAAGTGGAGCAGCCAGGACAAACTGGCGCTCATATGGGATGCCAGCACTGCAGGTTGCAGCTTGACTTGCTGTGCCACAACGCCGGCCCCCAGTTTGCATGACAGATAATTCTGGAGCTGGTGGGGAACAGAGAGAGATTCAGAACCGACATGAAGAGCAGTTAGGAGCCGGGTTGTAGGTCTGCCTTAACCTGATCTGCTGGGGGTGGGGTGGGGGGTGCTGCACGCACATGAGTGCATACACGCACATTCAGGAGTGTGTGTGAGAGAGGAAGGAAGTGCGCTGGCTGGGGTTGAAGATAACAGCTTTATTGCTTCAGCAGCCCCCGGTTTGTCTTCCCTTTAAGATGAAGAGCGCCTGAGAAGGAGTAAGTTTGGGCACTGTGAGAAGAGTGAGTTTTATTGTGGCTGTGTTGAGTCTGGGAAGTCTGCAATGTTCAGGATGATGTTACTCTTGAAGGAAGATAAATATATCACGTGAAAGAAAACCTTGAGCCTTGAGTTAAGTGGCTGTTCACGCTGTCTTTCTGGTGTTGTGGGCTGCTGCCGGGCCTGTGAAGCTCGCGCCGCACGTCCCTCACTTGTGGGTTCACTAAAGC